AAATAAAAAGGTTTTACCAAAACTAATTTGAGCACATTCCACTGAGCAAAACCACCAAACTGACACTTCTTAAATTGCTTCCTAGACTGAATAAACTGTTTTGTCTAGCTGTTTTAACAACAACAACAACAACAACAAAAGACTTTCATCTTTAAATGTGATGTTAGAATGGGTTTTTCATAGATGCCTTTTTCAAGGCGAGGAAAATCCCTTCTATTCCTAGTTTGTTGAGTGTTTTTGTTTTTTTTGTTTGTTTGTTTAATCAAAAAAGGGTATTGGATTTTGTCAATGCTTTTTCTATGTCTATTGAGAGGACTATGTGGCTTTTGTTTATTCTATTGATATGATTTATTACATTAATTGATTTTGTGATGCTAAACCTTGTATTTCTGGGATAAATCCTACTTGTTAATGGTTTATAATTCTTTTTATGTGTTTCTGGATTCAGTTTGCTAATATTTTGTTAAAAATTTTTGCATTCATATTCATAAGGGATATAGGTCTGTAGTTTCCCTTTCTTGATTTGTCTGGTCTTTTTGTCTTTCTGTTTGTCTGTCTTTTTTTTTTTGTTTGGTATCAGGATAATATTGGCCTTGTAAAATGAGTTGGGAAATGTTTGCCTGTCTTTTATTTTTTGAAAAAGTTTGTGAATCTTTCATAATAATTCTTTAAATGTTTGGTAGAGTTCAACAATGAATTCTTCTGTGTCTTTGCTTTTCTTTGTGGGTGTTTTGTTGTGTTGTTTTGTTTTGTTTTAACAAGATATGCCTGTATTTTTTTTTAAGATTTTTTTTGGGGGGTTGGAATTGGGGAAGAGAACAGTGTTGGGGAATTGAGGAGGGGAACATTGTGCTTTTCCAGGACCCATCAGGTCCAAGTCAAGTTGTTGTCTTCAATCTTAGTTGTGGAGGGCGCAAGCTCAGTTCCAAGTCCAGTCGCCGCTTTCAATCTAGTTGCAGAGTGGGGGTGGGGGACGCAGACCACCAACTGGACAAACAGTTAACCAAGTTTACTATTTGGAAGTGCTGAAAAGGCTGCATGAAAAAGTTAGACAACCTGAACTTTTTGCCAACAATTTATGGCTGTTTCATCATGACAATGAACCTGCTCACATTGCACTGTCTGTGAGGGAATTTTTAGCCAGTAAACAAATAACTGTATTGGAACACCCTTCCTATTCACCTAATCTGGCTCCCAATGACTTTTTTGTTTACCTGAAGAGAAAGAAAATATTGAAAGGAAGACATTTTGATGACACTCAGGACATCAAGGGTAATACGATGACAGCTCTGATGACCATTCCAGAAAAAGAGTTCCAAAATTGCTTTGAAAGGTGGACTAGGTGCTGGCGACAGTGCATAGCCTCCCAAGGGGAGTACTTCAAAGGTGACCATAGTGATATTCAGCAATGAGGTATGTAGTACTTTTTCTAGGATGAGTTCACAAACTTAATTGGCAGACCTCATGCATCATAACTTATCAGAATCAGCTTCAGATTTATACTTACTTAATTCCAGTGATATGAAGAAATGCTACCTATGTTTTTTTTAAAGAATTTATTGGGGAAATGGGGGAGGGAACAGCATTGGGGAATTGGGGAAGAGGAACAGACAAGTTGCTGTCCTTTTGTTCTTCAGTCTAGTTGTGGAGGACGTCACTTCACTGGCCCATGTTGGTATTGTGATCATTGCNTGTGTGTATGTATATATGCATGTATAGTATATGTATATATGTATATACATACCATAGATACTTATAAACCACACATATTTCTTTATATTTATATCCTTAAGTGTATATGTATGCATTTATGTCTATATATGTATGTATGCAGGTATTTGCTAAAATAGTGCAAATATTCCTTATTAGCTTATGTTATGTTTTTCTCCATTCTATTGCTTGATTTCAATAGTTAATTTGCAGAAAACCTTATTAAAGTTTTTATATATTCAGAAATATATTCTGAGACTATTTTCTTTCTTTAATATTCAGAATGTATTTCTCCACCAAGAGTCAGAATATGTATATTATTCTGTCTTGTCGTTATTAAGTCTTTAATTCATCTGGAATTTGTTGCAATGTATAGGATCAAAGTTAATTTTCTAAGCTGAAACAGAATTGTTTCCAAAATACTCAAATTCATTATCTATTTTGTGTCAATCTCCTTTTACTGCATATTATGTTCCAATTACCTTTTTTCTCTTTTGAGATATAATTGACATGTAACACATTAGTTTCAGGTGTACAACATCATGATTTGATATTTGTATACAAATATATTGTGAAATGATCACCACAGTAAGTCTAACATCCATCACCACCCATATTTACATGTTTTCTTTTATGATGAGAACTTTAAAGATCTACTTACTTAGCAACTTTCAAATATACAATAGAGTATTAACTATACTTACCATACTGTACATTTCATCCCCATGACTTATTTATTTTGTAACTGGAAGTTTGCGCACTTTGCCTACCTTCATCCACTTTGCACATCCCCACCTCTGGCTATCACCAATTGGGCGGGAGACCAGCTCCCACAGGTCCAGGGGTTCCCTCAGGTGGAGGCGGAATCAGCGAGGAAAGAAGAATGCCGGAGACACAGGAGCACTTTCAAGAATTAATGTCTCACTTTATTTTTACAGCCTGTCCTTTTTATACTGGGCAGGTAACTATTTACATCATTGAGCTGTTTTTCCCAAAGTTGTTTNCGCTGGCAACTCACAGCAGCCCAGCTCCAGGTTGAGCTGTTGTTCAGCATCTTAGCTGTAGAGGGCAGTGTTACTGGCCCTCATATGTGGGATCCAAACCGGGGCCCTCTGGTGTCCCAAGCCAGCTCTTAACCAACGTGCCGCTTGGCCGGCCCAGAACATATACCGCTTTATTGCCGCAATAATTCTGTATAATAAATCACCCCAAACTCAGTGGCTTATGACAACAGCATTGCTTTTTATACTCTTCGATCTTCCAGATGTCTAAGGTTCTGCTAATCTAAGGTGGATTTGGGCTGCAGGTTGGATTCAAATCTGCTCAACACACGTTTGGTCTGAGAGCCCAGGCTGAAGGGGCAATGGCTGCGTGAAACACGGTCTCCGCATGTGCATCATCTGAGCTTAACAGCCAAATCAATTTATACAAGCACATTTAAGAGTCCTGTGCATATCATGTCTGCTAATATTCTATCAGCCAATATCAATGGGCTAGAGAAGTAAAAGTGGCCAACAGTGGGAGGGGAAAGAGAATAAATATTTTCTGAAACAAAAATCCAAATTATCATGTCCAGAATGGTATACACCCAACAGAAATAATGCACATGTGCACAAAGAAACAGTAAGAATGCAGTTCAAGCAGTATTATTCATAATAGCCAAGAACTGGAAATAATCCAAATGACTATCAACAGTACAATGGACTAAGAAAATGTGCTACATCAATTTCTACATCTACGGATATCCCCTCTATCCAAAAGTAGAACATTCCTTATGAAATGTTTCATAAGCCCAAATGGCAAAAAATGAAGAATATCCCTCGCTTTCCAAAACATCATATCATGTTACTTTGCTACATTAGTATAGTAACAGCTTTTTTTGGTAAACGGGTGCTAACATATAGGGATTTTGTAAAAGTGAAGTGTCAAAACGCAAACTTTCTGAAAGCAATACCTGTATAGCAGTGAAAATGAAAAAGGAAATACACACGAAAGCATGTTACTCACAAACAATATCACGCCAAAGAAACTGGGCACAAAATCATTCAACTTACATAAAGTTCAAACCACAAGCAAAATTAAATGATAAAGTTTAGGGATGTATATTTAGGCAGCAAACGTATAAAGAAAGGTAAGGAAGAGATGACCGTAAAAGTTAGATTACTGGTTAGGTTTGATGATAAGGAAAGGGGGTAGGTATTGATTGGGAGGTGGCACAACAGGGAGCTTCTGGGGTTTGGGCCATGTTCTATTTCTTGACCAGGGTAGTGGTTTCATAAATATTTGCTTTGTGATAAATGAGAGAATTGTACATTGTGGTTTTGTGTACTTTCCAAAAAATATCTGCTGTTTCCTTATCTGCTTCTACAGTCAACCTTGCTTTGTCTTCTGCTTGAAAAGCTCTTCCTCCAAGTCTTCTAAAGACCGGTTTGGTATGCTTTTATCATTGAAGTTTTGAGCTGAAATATCCCTTTTTCAGTGAGACCTTGTAGTTCTGCCTGTTCTGCGGCTGGCCTCCAGACTCCAACCCCATCCTCCAGCATTTCCAATTTGTTTTCATAACAGCATTGTTAAATGAAACTCTATTTTTGTTGTTGCGGTGGTGGTGGTGGTGGTGGTGGTTTACGTGTAACTGTCATCCACCTCTAGAGTAAGTCTCAATATGTTCAAAGTCCTTGTGTAGCTTGTTCACGACTGTAATCATAGTGCTTCATTCAGCATCTGGGCACTGTAAACAAAGTTGATATTGAATGAGTACATCTTTCCCATCATGTGTTACAGTGCCTGGCTCATGGTGTCTGAAGTGCTTAATATCTTCGTAGAACTAATGCTATTTGTGGTCCCTTAGCTCTCTATGCATAGATAATAAATTTCTAAAGGTGTTTTCCTAGGGAACTAGCACGTAAACAAAAGATACCTAGATTTAACAATTATTAAATTACAACAAAGACGAGGTTTCATAAATGCCTCTTTTGGGCAAGAGAAAACAAGCGTCACTACGGCAACTTCGGTGAGAGACGCAAAGTCGCCCAACCGTGGAGCAATAGAGCCGACACAGAGGCATTCCGTACGCTTTTTCCACATTCAGCGACGTGTTAGCCCCGCGCGACGCGCGGCCCCGCTCCGACGCTGTGAACGTCAGATCCCGTCGTCCAATCCCGAGGCGCGCTGCGGCCTCGCGTCTGCGCAGAGATAAGAAGCCATCGCCGCGTGGACGCCTGCCTCAGGCGTGCGCTTGCGCGTCGACTTCTCCTCAGCGGTTGGCTTCTGCCGTTTGGAGGGGCGCCACAGTTCAGTTTTCACTTTCTCTTCCCCCACCCCCATTCGTGAGGCCTTGGGGTTTTACTTCCGGTTGACAACGCCATCCCTGAGAAAGTCGACATGTTTCCTCAGGCCGCGGGCTTCTCGGGATGGGTTCCTTTCTGTGACCCTCTGGGGGAGGTACGGCGCTTGGCTGACTAGCGCGGCGGGGCTTGCGAGCTCCGAGTCTGGACACCCGGCCCGTGTCCCCCCCACCTGCGCCTCAGGGCCGCCCTCCTCACGCAGCTGGCACAAGGGCGGAGAGGAAGGACGTGTTGCGACGTGGAGGGTCCTGCGTGCCTCTGACGAGCCTGTGCAAAGTGGGGCCGAGGGCGCCCATTGGAAATCCGGGAGGAGGAGAGTCCCGAAAAGCGACTTGAGGGCTCCCTAGCCGGGAACCGGAGGCAGAGAAGGCCGCTTATTAACAAGGTCCAAAAACAACTCGCATATTTGGCCCCGAGGGACCGACGAAAAGGAAGCGCATGTGTTGGAGGAGCGCACAACATATAAAAGCATGAGGAAGAAATTGAATAATAATCCCAAATTCTCGGAGGCGGCGACAGCACAAAGGACAGGTAAAACTTTCTCGGTGCGGGCGCCTTGGTTTGTGGACCTTTTGTAGACACCTGGAAGGGAGGGGGAGACCCTGTCCTCCAAGGCGAAGTGCATGGTGTAGCTGCTTGGGCGTTTGTGGTTCTTGTTGGGGGCTTCGCTATTGTAATTTAAAATTTAAAAATTGCAATAGGCTTTGCATGCTTTTCTTGAATGATGAATAACTAACGCGTTCTTGGCTGTTTTCCCTGCTGTGGGGTGCGCAGGGTGGGAGGGGCTGGTGGTTTTCAGAATCGTTTTTGCTTTGCTTTTTCGATTACTACACCTTTTATCACCTGTGGCCATTCTCAGTATCAGTCGTAATTTGTTTCTAGGAAGTCAGCATTTTACAAGTTAGTATAGGGCTTCAGAATTCATCTTTTCTCTTTTTGAGGCAGCGTCTAGAACGAGCGGTTTAAGCATTTCCTTGGAGTTGCTTTCCATAGGACAGCTTCATCCTTATGGACATTATAATACTTAGTTGAAGCCTTGCTCATTTGGTATGGGCTGGGCGTTAAATAATTTTCTAAGGGTTCTTTATGAACCCTGCACCTCAAATTTCTTTCTGTAGAGACTTCATGGCAGTGTATGCCCCTTTCTTTTTACAAGTAGGTATAAAAAAAGGAAGAGGTCTATCCATTTGGAGAGTTATTTAGCAAGACTGACGTAAGTAGCACGAAAGGAATGTCATAATAGGTTGGGGTGGTCCATGCTACCCAGCAGTTTTGTCGGAAGGAGGCACCATGCTGCATTTTGTGGGAGAACGTGGCAGATTAACCTCAAAATTTGAGGAAGATACTTTGAAAATCCTCAAGTTTCATTTAATCACCGTTTGTCTATTTGCAAACCAAAAATTTACCCTTCTTTATTCTCCCTGTAAGGTAAAATTAGAATAAGGTTTATGAAAATATATTCTAAACTTAACGTGTTGTTCAAATTTATGATATTATTGTAGTAACATTAGTCACCTGAGGGCCCACAGTATTCCCCTGAAAAAACATCAGAAGGCAAAGGGGGTGTGTATATGATGTTTAATATTAAAGGATCTGAGATTGATAATAAGCCTAGTCAGGAAGCTTATAACAAGCAGATACTCCTTAATAATGTAAGAATACTCGTCTGTTGAAAAACTGCCTTTTAGAACTGGATAGCACTATACAATGTGTTCAGTACATTAGTAAATAACTAACCCAGATTAGAAAACAATAAAAAGTGGCATTGTACACACTTATTTTAAGACAAAGAACAGTGTTTGAAATTTGTGTTTTCAGTACATTTCTCAAACGTTATCAGTTCTCTTTAAAAAGAGCTATATCATGAGCATCTCCTGTAATCCAAACATAGTTGCTTAAATGAATTAAAATTCTCAGTGCCTAAAAACTTGCCTGAGACATAGTCATTTGTTAAATAAATGCAGTGTGGTATCTATATTTAGTATAATTAAATAGATATGGCATTCATTTATCAAATGTGAGTTTTTCATCCCTCTATGAATGGATGTTTAAGTTATTTTCAAGTTTTCCCATATAACTAATGATGCTGCAGTGATTGTTTTTTGCTATTATAAACAATGCTTCATGTGCTCGTTAGTATTTCTGTAGAATTGATTCTATTAGAATGCTGGATAATAATGCTGTTCAATTATCCTGAAATGATTGTACTCTTTTATCATCACTAAGTGTGTTTTTAATCTCCTTGCTAGCCAACATTGGATAGTAACCTTATTTCTATCTTACTAATCTTCTAATAATTGAAAATAACATCTCATTTTAGTTTTTACCTTCCTTGGGTAATGAGAAAGTTAAACATTTTTGGCCAAGTCATCCTTTGCTTGTTTATTTTTGGGGGTTCTGAACTCTTTGCTCTGTTTAGCTGTTGCCACACTGTTTTAATGATTGTAGCTTTATAATATATTTCTGCACTTTCTTTTGAAAAAAAGCTTTGGGCTCTTTTTTTGCATTTTTCTTCCAGATGAAATTTAGAACCATCATTTCAAGTTATATAGAAAACCTTGTTGGGATATTGTTTGTGATTGCATTGAATTTATAGATTAATTTGAGAAGAGACATTCTTTTGAGTTTCTCCTTCTAGGAGAATAGGTATGTCTCCTTGTTTCTTCTATTACAATTTTCGTTGTGAAATATATCATTTATATGTACTGTAAAAGAAAAAAAAAGTTTATTTGTGTACCCAGCTTAATAGAACATCACAAGTACCATAGAAGCCTTTATTGCTCACGAGAAGCAAAGTATTCCCTGCCCCCATTACCATGGATATTCTGAATTGTGTGTTATTCTCTTGCCTTTCTCTACGGTTTTATCAACTATATACATAGCCTTAACCTATTGTTTACCTCCGTTTTGGAGCTTTATTTAAATAGGGTCATACTGTGTATTCTGTGAATTACTTTTGTTAAACATTATGTTCCTGAGATTCATCCATGTTGAAGCATGTGCCTGTAGTTCAGCAATTCAGAAACTTTTTGATCTCAGGATTCCTTTACACTTTTAAAAACGATTGAGGACCTCCAAAGATCTTTTGTTTATGTGGATTATATTAGATATTAAAACTGGCCAATTTTAAATACAATAGATGTGACATTTATTGGTGTGTTTTTTGCTTCCTTTAGTGATGGTAATAATCTATTAACACCTTAACATAAATAACATTTTTAATGAAAAATAACAATTTTCCAAAAAAAAAATTAGTGACAATAGTGGCTTTGTTTTACATTTTTGCAAGTATCTTTAATAGCTAGAGCTTCTGTATTCAATCTGTTGCAATATATTGTTTTGGTTGAAGTATATGAAGAAAATCTGGCCTCAGCTGTGTATTTAGAAATGGGTTACAAATAACCTTTTCTGTCTCTTTGTGGTGTTTTTGATGAGCAGAAATTCTTATTTTTAAAGATTTCCATTTCACGTCTGTATACTTGGAATTATTTGTGTGTAGTTTGGAGTAGAGGTATAATTTAACTTTATTCTCATGTGGATAACTAGCTGTGGTAGAATTTACCATTGAATCCCCTTGGGTCTGAAGTTTTGCTACTGGCAGATTTTTGACTAGTGATGTAATTTCTTTAATGGTTACAGGATTATCCAGATTTTTTTGTTTTAATTTTGTCAGTTGTGGCAAGTTAGATTTTTCTAGGACTCTGTCCATTTTGTCTAAATTTTTAATATTTTTTTGGCACAAAGTTGTTAAAAGTGCTCTCTTACTATCGTTAATGTCCGAAGCATATGTAATTATGTCTCTTTTTTTCATTTCTGGTATTGAATATTTCCATCCCTGTTTTCCCACCCCTCTTTCTGTTAATTCATCTTGCCTCTAGTTTATCAGTTAGACTTGCCTTTTCAGTGAATTTTTTTGATTTTGTGGCATTTCTATTGTATATTTCTTTTTCTGTTAATTTAATAAATTAAAAAACTTATGAGATAGTTGTAGATTCATATGCACTTGTGTGTTTGAGATGTCTCTTAAAGAGCACCTGTTGGAATTTTTTAATGGAATTTTGAAACATTTTTAGCTGAGACAGTTAAATTTTTTTATTTTTAAAGATTTTTATTGGGGAATTGGGGGGATGGGAACAGCGCTGGGGAATTGGGGGAAGGGGAACAAACAAGTTGCTGTCGTTTTG